CCCCCCCCCCCCCCCCCCCCCCGCGGTTTTACAGCTATGGCATTAAGGCTTTGTAGTACAATGGAACAGGGCAGAAGTAGATTGTTAGGCAAACAGATCCCTTTTAATTGTGATTGAGTATACTCATTATTAGAGAACAATTTACTACTAAGTAACTAGCTATGGCAGTTTCCAGACTAGAAGTATACATCCTCCTAGTAGGAGTAGTGGCTACTTCTGCTGCTTCTATAATTGTGTAATTCTCTCTTCCTCTAATAATTATTCTTTATTGTGTACCCAGCTAACAAAAGCTCAACATTTTTGAAATTTATTAATGCAATGATTTTACAAATTGTATACACTTCTATTGATTAAGACACCAAAAGTGTTTACTGAGAAAGACTGTGCTTTTTAAAAATGGCTTTGGTGCAATCTCAACCTATCAAAAATTCCTTTTTGGAGTTTTTTCCCCCAAAGCTCTTGAAATTATTGATCAATCCAAAATAATGGCCAGGCTTTCAGGGTCCAGAATGCCACGTACATATAAAGTATTCGTAAGCATTGTTGAGATTTTATTCTTTACCAGATCATAATTTTGACAGCAGCCAATAAATACAGTGGGATAAATGGACAGGAGCTTTGGATGAAAACATTTTAATTGTAATTCAAATAGCTTTGATCCCTAAGATTTAATATAACTTTCAGTCAGGAATCCCAAAGGCATTTTCAATCTTTGATAAAATAGAATACAGTATTGTGAAACCCTACCAAATAGAATAAAATACACAATATTTTAATCTTCCTGAAACCCAAGCTTCTGAGTTTGGGTTAAGTTGCTGCAGGCAGTTTGGAGAAAAATATAAAAATCAGTTTGCTTAACATGCCTCTGCGGTACTCATCTCTGGTGGTATACAATCAACTATTCTGCTGAACTGGCTTGCAGTGAATATTCTGTACATTCAATATGTACACTATAGAAAAGCAAATAAAATGACTATTTATTTGGATTTATTAAGGCTGCCCGACCCCAAAAAGACTCTGGGAAGCTTACAATATATCCAATACATAAGAAACACAACTAAAACTAGATGACTTCCAGGACTAAAAGAGCATTCCCAACATTCAGAAAAAAGACTTGACAGGAGCTCCACAAACTCCCTCATCCCAGGCCTGGGATCAGAACCAGGTCTTAAGGTACTTCCTGAACCCTTGGACAGTGAAGCTGTCTGTAAACTTACTTGGGAATAAATCTCATTGTTCTCAGTGGAGCATTCCTTTAATAGCTTCAAGGCAACCTTTTAGCAGCCATGAAGTGCACCTTCTTTTATTATTTTTTTTCACTCCTTAAGGACTGCAGTAAGTAAAAGACTTACACTGTATTATGGAATCATACTGTTGGATAAGGCTATGATATCTGGCATAGATTCAGGTGGGATTAAAGAGGTGTGTTTTTTAAAAGGTTTGTAAGTCTCTTCAAGAGTATGCATATGTTTGGCTTTGTTTCCCATAGAAATCTATGTTAAATCAAATCAGTTTGGTGGGAGGTTTGCTACTGAATTTTGATGGCATGATCAGGGAGTGGCCAGAAGTATTGAATTTCAACTTGAAATCACACTGGGTGTAGTTTATATTACAGTGATAGTGATAGCTCTTTATCCCAAGAAAGTATCCTTTGGAGAAATCTTGTATTTATCATTTCATAACGAAATAGTAGCCTGTGCCTATAAAACTAGGATTTTATAGTGCAGCCTACATGACCTTGCTCAGAAGTAAGCCTTGCTTTGTTCAAAAGGCCTTATCCCTAGAAGACTTAGGAATGAAGAATCAATAAAACTTATTTGGGACACAAACAGGGACAACTATAGAAGACTGAATGGCCTGAGTGGACCCATTTCTGTTCTCACTTTAGAGTGGCTATGCATTTTACAGGGTTATACATAACTGATTTGTTTATTTACTTTTTGCATGTTTAGAATAATGTGCAAACTGAGAAGTAGTGACTTGTGTATTTAGCATTTATTAAAAGCAGAGCCTAGAACTTAGGAAGGGATGTGGACAAGCTTTCTGAGGAAAATCATCATAACCTGTTTTCTCTTCCTTTCCAGTATGTGCCATCCTCAAAAAATATAACCTAACAACTCCGTACTATATATCATATCAATCTTCCCTGCCCTTTTCTGTTTGATATTGCAACCTCTCCCCCCGAAAAGAAGACCATTTCTCTCTAAAATGATTAACTGTACTGACATGTCAGAAAGAAGACAAAGCTAGAAATCTTCTCCCTGTCCACATATGTTCAGTGGACTGTTACCAAGAGTCATTTCCCTCTCATAACTTCTATATCCTCTGTTCCTCTACTTCCACAACCTAATCAGCATTCCTCTGGTGATATATTTTTATGTAATCCATATTCATTCTGACAGTTCATTTCCATTTAGTAATGAAATAATTTGGATAAATGAACTATTCCTTCAGTGGGCAGTTAATAATTTTGGAGAGATCCTTGATTCACCAAACGGTTGCTTATACAGGTTGATTAATAACCTTCACTAATAAAAATGTTAGTTCTATTTCTCCAAATTGCTTTAAAAGTTATCATCTTCTGAGTAACTCACAAATTGTGTTAAACTAAGGTTATAAACTTAAGATGAACTGAAAATAAATGCCACTGATCATGCTAAATATTAATAAGGGATATTGTGAGTTTAATAGGTGATACAGCATCTGCTATATATTTCTGCTTAGAAATTAGCCCCTTGAATTCAATAGAATATTTCCTGGAGAATATAAAAAGGACCATAATCTGAATCCTGCTGAAACCAATCCAACAAATTAGTGCTATGACTAATAACACTAAATGACTAAAGATCAGAAACCAGTTATGAAAAAAACAGACTAAAATAGCAGCATTAAAACATTATTCTAACATAAATCACAGTTTAAACAATTATAGAAAGATCAGCTGAAAATGAGTAAATCAGTCTTTAAGGGCTGTTTTAAAACAGCCAGTGAAAGAGCTAGGCACGTTTACAGAATGCTGTTTCAAAGGAATGGCGTCACCACAGACAAGGTCCCACTTCTCATTGAAGCTTACTTCTAAGTAAGCACTGTTGGTCATAATTAAAAGCAGGAATGCTGTAAATGTGTATTTGTAAGCCCCACTGTGTTCAATGGACCTTACTCCCAGGTAGGTATGCACAGAATTAGGCTAGATTGGAAAATTGGCATTCAGGAATTGCTCTGTTCTGAAATTATCCTGTCTTGAAGTACATTTTTTGTGGATGACTCTATTGTAATTATTTGGACTTTCTGAGCAAATCTTGTTTATTCAGGGCCTTTGAATGTATGCCAACATCTCTGCATGCTCACTGGAAATGCTGGGTTTGATTCAATTTCTCTAGAATCAAGTATACAGTTGCAATTCTGGATATATCTCATATTAATTGGAAAATGGTGCACAGGGAAATTAGGGGAAAATCAGCTTATTTCTAGTAAAACCAATTCCAACTTACTTTTGTGGGAGAGAGGGCTATATCCTGGAAATCAACAAAACAAAATAATTAGCAAGTGCAAGTCATTATTTATCATTGTCATAAAAAGGAGGAACACATTTGATAGAACCACATTATCATGGCAATTAATGCCTTAATTGTTTTCTGAATAATTCATGGGTGTGAAACACTTTTTAGTCTAGGCACGATATGCCAGGACTGTTTCCTGTATACGCTCCATTATAAAATGGGATATGCTTTTATACAATTCTCATCTATTTTTCCTCCTGTAAAGAACATTCCATTTGATGCATGATTCTTTCAAAGCAATGAAATAGATCTTAACAATTCCTAGTTCTGAAAAATGTAATTCAAGTATTCTTACTCTAATTTTATACAGTATATTTATTAAATAAGGACAAACAACAAATATAAATACCATTCAATATCTAATTCTATATTTTCCCATTTATGCTTAGAAAAAGAAAGTGGCAAGCAGCTGTTTATTATTCTCCTTTAAAAACATAAATGCAGATCTTTTCCCATAGGGGGAAAAACACTATTTGCAGAACAGTAAGAACATTTCTAATTTTCAACAGAATTGTATTTTCATATGTGAAATAACTTAGGAAGACTGTCTCCCATGTGTTCTGATCTTCAGTTTCAAACTGCACTGTGCATTTTTTAAAAGCTGCAGTATTAAGGAAGCAGCAACAGCATCTAGAAAGGAAAAGCTCATTATCTTTTTGATAATGAAGGCTTCCCTGATCTTGTTCCCCATATCTCCAGACATACTGGGGATGATGAGGCTGTGGATTGACATGCTTTAAGGATGTGTCTCAAGTTTAGGAAAGCTGAGCTAATGACTGGGTTCAATTTAGTTTGGTTTGCTTCCTTCTGTGGTTTGTATGCTGTGTTAATCAAATTTACTAGCTTGTTCAACAAACCATGGCTAGGCACAATATGTAAGCCCAGCCAATGTGTATAACTAATGTCCTGGGACAGGCGATTAGCTGAGGCTGCAATCCTACAGACTAGTGTTTCCAACCTTGGCAATTTCTAGGTGTGTGGACTTCAAATCCCAGCATTCCACAGGCCAGTACGGCCATTGATGAAACTTCTGGGTGTTGGTCCACTTACCTAGAAGTTGCCAAGGTTGGAAAACACTGCTATAGACCATGGTAGACTGCTTCAAGAGCCATAAGATTCATCCAATTCTAAGCTCCAAAAAGAGCTCTGACCTGGAAGGGGGAAATCTAGCATTGGAAACTCCCTCCTGTTCCACCGTGCCCCCTCCTCAGAGCCTTGAGAATTTTTTATGATGTCAGAACTTCAGTATCAGAAAGGGCAAAAGGAAGCATGATGGAGGAGAAGATGACATGAATGGGTTGAGAGCAAACATGGATCTGCTACTGCCTGTCTAATCTGGCATTTTGAGCCTGCAAACATGAGAAGAAGAAAAAAAAACCCTCCAACCTTGATTTTATTCAGGGTTTTTATTTAATTTCTTTCAAAACTGAGTTTATTTACAGGAAGAAAGGACTCTTACTTTACACACTTTGTGTTTTTCTACAGCATCTTGCTAAATATATGTAAAATACTACTCATGGTTGTTAGGAATATTTCTAAAAATGTTTTTTTGATGGATTCAAACTAAATATTTATAAATAATAAAAATTTTAATAATAAATTTAATAATAAATTTACTGTTTATAAATAAGAGAATAAATATTCCCTTCAATTAAATATTTTTAGTTTAAATTATTTTTCAGACACACTTAAATTACAGTATTAAAAAAAAAGAACTGGAAGTGGTTCTCACCAGCATCTCGTTTGCCCATTAAGCCGTAGAACTGCTGAGGTCTGGGTCTCCTGGCAATTCTCTGAAGATAGTGTTCAATGGGTAAAGGCAACTTTTCCTGAAACAGAAATATAAAAAGATTGCTTAAGTGCTCAGCCTTCACTTCTGATAAAATGTGACACCAACTGAACAACAACAACAAAAAGCACTTAACGTGGAAGTATCACATATTCTGAGCCTTTTTTTTCCCCACTTTCCTGATCTGTTACATTCAAAAGCCTCCACAAGCTCATCTCAAAGGGAAGTATTTTTTTTCCTCTAAATTCAGATCATGAACCAAATTGATGGAAATCTTAATCTAGGATCAAAACCCTGCATTCCGCCACATGTAGGCCATGAGAGGGCATTGAAAATACAGAGCTGAAAACTGTCCAGATTTGGTGGAAAATTGATACATTGGTTGAGTAGAGTTTTTCAGTATGTGATCAGTTATTGTTCTTAACCCTTTCATATCCAGATCATCCACCTTAGTCCCTTGCAAAAAGTATATAACACTGTACGTGTTTGACCACCTGTAAGTTATGGACCTGTTTTATGATTAAAGCACCAGATTCTCTGACAGGTGTTGACATAGAAGAGGGTAGCAAGGGAAAATAATTCCTGTTGATACTGGGTTATTTCAGTTTGTTTAAGCATCTTCTGTAAGTCTATCAGCAAATGTCAGGAAAAGCATTGGGTCACACATTGTAAGCTACAGTTTGTTGAACGGGCCATAGCAGCCGGGTCTACACATAAGTATGTACAAGTTATTACTTTTCCACCCTAACTTGATGTTGTGAGAATAAACGTTTAGTGAGACTCCTAGAACTGCTGGAGAGGAGACAAACCTATTTAGATTAACCTCTACCATAGAAGTAGGGAATCTCTAATCCTCCAAATGTTGCTGAATTACAGCTCTCAGGAACTTACTGCATTTACTACATTAGCCATGCTGGCTGGAGCTGCTGGGAATTCTAGTGCAACACTAGAGGATTATAACTTCTCCATTTTTAAAGTAGATGCTATGCAGGATTCACATTGCACGAAGGAGATATAATTAGGTGGTCTTTCCCAAAATCTCCAGGTAGAGATAGAAAAACCTCTGGAGCACTGCTACCAATGTCTGAAATATTAGACGGACCAAGGGTCTGATACAAATAGGGCAACTTATGTTCTTAAGTGTTCTATCCTATGACTGCTTGAACAAAGATGCAGTTAGACTGCCCTAGAGATAAGATTTTACAGAGGAGATACATGACTATGGGCCAACATGCATCTGTGGATTTGGGTCCCAAAGTAATGTTTCCTCCTTTTCCATAGGAATCAGGAAAATATTACAATAGAATCCAGTGCCAATTGAGCAAATAGGGCAGCTTATAGATGGCACCACATCGTCTCCTTTTGGATATTAAATGGTCTTACAGCACTTTCCCATCATTCAGGCACATCAAAGATTTCTTTTTAGAAAGCTCTACCTGGGATTTGAATACATGTACCAAAATCAGAGATTTATGCTTGGTGCATCTTTATGTCAAGTACCTTTGGTTCATGTAATTGTGCAAACCTGAGCAGTATGTGGAATTGGTATGGAACAGTGGAAAGAGATGGAACACCCAATGAAATCAGTTTGAAAAATAGGTGAAATTAAGCAGGTAAGCTCATTCATTTCAACATGAATATTTACCTTCCTATGACATTTAATTGCTAACACATTCATTTCTTTCAGCTTTTTAACTTCTGTCCAGAAAGGAAGCCTAAGGGCAAATTAGATGAGATGCTAGTGATCCATGAAATACAAAAATAAAATAAAGTATCATTTGCAAGAAACAGTCATGGAATTTAAATTGTAAAGGGAGATGGGAATTAAGGCTTCTCCCAATGGCAAAAACCTGATCATTTCAATTGGCATTTGCTCTTTCAGAGAAAACTTAAAAATTATACGAGGGAAATAGACACAGGTATAATTTCACCCATTCTCACTCCCAACATAAAATACAAGATTTATTGTCAGGAAAAATTAAGCATGGAGGGGGGGACAACAACAGCAGCATGACAGTCACACCTCAGACTAGACAGGTTTAGGTCCCATTTTTTTTAAAGAATTTATATTTTGTTGTCTGCTGAAGTGATTTCCTGCCATGATGTATGCAATTCACATTAGCAATCACTCATTTTTCATCCAGTTACAGTTTGCAAGCTATGGTTAAGGGAATGATCAGTATACTGAATGAGGACTTGATGTACCCAGTCTCATCCATAAACGTGCCCTATCAGCTAGAGATAATCATCCAACATTGTAAGAAGGGGAAACTGATGGTGCTGGTTGTATGGGTCCAAAAAGGAAATCAGTGATATGGATAGATGAGAAAGAAGAAAGGGCTTGGCCTTGGGGTTTTAACCTATCTTGTAGGCAAATTTGCCCAGAATGTTGTTGTTCTCCGGATTCAGAGAGAAGCACAACCTGGAAACAACGAGGAGCAAGTGATATAATGGAATTCAATACATCTTTCCCTAGAATTCAATATATCTTTCCATTCAACTAGTCTCCTAGGTGTAGAGATTCCCTATATTCTCCTGAAGAAACAACTCAAGAAGATGGCAGTAAAGAGAAGCGATTTTACTCTGATATGAAAGAGACTTGGGGTCAGATAAGCTGGCTCATGCTATCTTCTCTAGAATATGGACAAAATCTTGTAATGTATGGCTCATTGTCATGGTACAGTTGGGTAATTTTAGATTCTCAACTTAATGGCTGAGGGCTCCTTTTTTCTAATTGTGATAGGTACTGCCTGGCTCCCTTCAAACCACAAAAGACATTGCCCTGCATATAGTGGGCCTGCTGCCCCTTCCCCCTGCAGCTGAACTTTTGCTCTAATGGTTATTTACTTGCAGCCTTGGTGGTGTTTCTTTATTTTTCTTTCTACCCCCCCCCCCCCCCGCTGGCGAATTTTTTTCTTTTTGGGTTTTTTTTTGGGGCCCTTGTGGTGTTTTTTTTTTTTTTTCCCCCCCCCCCCCCCGCTGGCGAATTTTTTTCTTTTTGGGTTTTTTTTTGGGGCCCTTGTGGTGTTTTTTTTTTTTTTTCCCCCCCCCCCCCCAAAGTCTCAAGCAACTCTTTCAGTTCAGGAACTTCAAGCAATCCATTTTTTGCTTGAGTTCAAATAACTTTTTAAGCTTGTTAACCATGCTCTGCTCCGTCAACGGACTTTACAACCTGGCTCCCAAATCTATTTTCATAGCCATACTGTAAACATATTTGTGTTTTCTTTGAAATTAATCCCTCTGCTGGTTAAGGGCTGCAATAAAGAGCGATTTGAAATTAGTCCCGTTCGACGGGCACAGCAGTGGAGCTTGTAAGATTACCCGCTTAGAATGAGACCCAGCCATACCATTTCCTGTGCGGCCAACTTCTAACTATCCCTAAGCCCAGCCTACCTCACAGGGTTGCTGTGATGACAATAAAACGAAGAAAGACCGCCTGGTTGCCACCCTAAGCAGGACAGCCATGCCAAATTAAGAAGTAAGATAAGAACTCCAATGCATTTACTCCCGCCAGAGACGCAACAACTGCTAGAAAGCGCGCGGGAGCGAGCAGCATCGAGAGGCAATCGCTTTTTTTCACCGCGACATCAGTTTTGAAAGGAGAACGCGGGGCTCCGTCAACACAATCCGGTGCGCTTTCTCCGACTGCGCCGTTCGCCTTGTTCATGGGCGAACAAGCTTGCCTGGGCCGAAAGGAGGACGCAGAAAGGCGGAAAAGAGCGGGGAATTCGCCCCGACG